ACGTAATGTTGCATCAGAAGTGGAAGATGTGGGCCGGTTTTGCAGAAGGGGAGGTGGGGACTTGGGATTGATGTGACAGCAGTGGTATGCAGAGTTCTGACTCAGCTTGTTGGGCAGATATCACTTGTGCAACATCTTCTAGTAGTCAGGGTACTCCACTGGTCATTTGGGCTGTGGGAGTTGCCTGCACCCTTTCAGCAGAGCTGAGAGGGGAAATTACTGAGAATACAGGTTGAACTCAACACTTTTAAAAATCATTTCTGTTTAATCCCTGCTATTTCAGTTCATCTTGCTGTGCATGAAAATAGGATCCAGGAGGGCTGAGTCTAGACTGTGCATGCTATTTTCTTCCCTACTGGCCCATTTTGTGGCAGTTAAAATTCTCTGCATCTCTCTCCCAAACAGGCATAAAATAGTGTTGCCCCCCAGACTCTCTGGCTCTGGGCAGCCAGTCAGGATTTGGGGAACACTATGCTCTTTGGCTGGCTGGTGGGAAGGTGCTTATTGGAGATGGGACCATGCTTCCCTAATGCCAACCTCCAAGGAGTTGAGTCAAGTTGCACTTAATTGCTGTAGTTTAACTTAGCTCAGCTGTCTGGAAAATGGCAGGAGGAACAGAGAAAGGAGCCAGCAACTGGCTTGTTTCCTCGGGAAGCAGTTCTCCATCTGTGGCTGCTGATGCTTCAGCTACTGGGATGTATTTTGTACCTTGGGAAGCACAGGGGAGAACTACAAAAGGGGAAGGGAGGGTGGCTGCCTGAGTCTGGCATACCTGGTAGCCTTAACTGAACCTTGTAGTAATCTCTCCAACACCACAAAGGCCAGTGCTGCCCTCTGAGCCCTCTGTCTCTCTTGCTGAATGGTAGGCTGCCACTTTACTTGCCAGCTGTCCTTACCCATGGGCATGTTTTAATTTGCTGCTTCTCACATAGGCTGCAAGAAACCCGTGTCTGCCTCAGAGAAGGAGATGGAGTGGGCACAGATGGCATGTCACAGATGTCTGGTTTATCTGGGAGATTTAGGTAAGAGCAGTGTCTTCTTGCAGTAGAGCCTTTAATGCACAAAAGACGTTACATACATCATACTGATACCATGCTCATTAGTTACCGGGTATAATCCCTTGCAGACATTGGTTTGTCTTGCATATGTTTGTCAATGACAAGTTTAAGGTGAAATTCTATCAAATACCTAATTTGTTACAGACCATGGAGGCTTCTAAGGCTGGCTGACAGGGAAGCTGCAGCTCACTTAAAGCTGTATCAAGTGTATCAGCTTTGAATCCTCTCCTGTATAACAACATATGGCTGGTTATCCTTAACATTGCTTTGGCAGTGTAAAGACCCTTAAAATGAACATAGCTTCCATTTACATTTACTTTAAGGTCCTTTTATGCAGCCATGGTAGTATGGAACAATTTATAGGTAAATGAGAATTGGGCCCCATCATAGAAAATTCAAATTAATTCTAGGGTGATAGTGATAAAGCTATGACTTCTTAGAAGTGAGCAAGAAGGGGGTGGGTGTTGATGTGTCGATCTGTTTGGTACTAAACACATGCCTGCTTCTCAGTCATGGCCTCAAGAGGTTCATGTGAGTTTCAGTTTTTTGCTTGATTGTATATCTGTGGATATGAGTGTGGTGAAAATACACATGAGCATGGGTGAAAAGCTGTTCTGTTACTGGGAGAGAGGAGGGAGCCTCATAAATATATACATGACAGATTCCAAACTTCAAACAACTAAAAACTGCAGCAGTGTTATCATGGCAAACGAACCTGCCTGTTATAATGCAGGTGAATAGTTGTCTCATGGGGGCAAGTCATATGCAACTGGATGGAAAAACATGTGGTCACTTCCACACGGCACTGTTGCCAGAAGTCTCAATGAGACCAAATATTATCCAGTCCCAGAGCTGCTCTTTGGTTTTGCCTCTGTCTGCTCTAGATGCATCAAGGCTAATTGTTTGCCCATATCCAGATGCAAAGAGTAGACATGTCTCTTCTTGCATTACTGGTCTCCCTTGCTTGCTGGAGAGTTGAGAATACAAATGTAGCATATTTTAGGGTAATACTAATTCTCAGCACATGACTCAAGCAGGAATTCCATCCATCCATCTCCAGTCTTGCACAAGCCAACTTAATGGGGCATCTCCTGAAACTCTTACATGTTTCATGCAAAGCAGTGGATTTGAAGATCAGCTGCTGCCTCTTTGTGGTAAACCCCAAATGGCTCTGTACTCTTACTGCAGCCTTTTTCTAGAATAAGTCAGCAAATCCAGTGCTGTTGATTCTCATTTTGAGGGACTTCTAGTATGCTAGGGCAAGCTTTTCCTCTGGTCTGGAGTTCTGCCCCCTCTCAGAGAATACTCCCTGTTCCTCTTTGCATTGGGAAATATTTAAAAAAAAATGTTCTCTGCTTTCTGTTGTGAGTAATGTGCATCTGTTACTTTCCAGCTCGCTATCAGAATGAGCTGGCAGGTGTGGACACAGAACTGCTTGCTGAGAGGTTTTACTATCAGGCCCTTTCCGTTGCCCCACAAATTGGTAAGTGAACTATGAGTACAGTTGTTCATCTGTTATTGCCTTAATCTCCTGTGAAAACAGGTAGGAGAAAACAAACTGTCATGATTGCCTTATTGAAGTTTGCACTTACATGTATTGCTGTACAGAGTTGCTTTACTCTCCGGTTAGCATAACTTCCCTTTATAAGAGAGTCTCCCTTTCTCTGTTTGACACAAGAGAGGAAAGTGCCTCTGCATTCACTCCCAGAATGACTCTGAATTGTCAGGTAATCATCCTTGCCATTCTTGTTGCACACATAAGCTCAAAAACTCACATGTAAGAGGCGATTTCACACTTGTCTGCTCCAGGCAAGATCCAGCCATTTTTTGCTGTTTGTGCAGAGCGTTAATGCTGATGCTGCTCTTCTTGTTGGACTGCCCCCCACACGTTCCATTTTGACTTGCAAGCAGTAAATTCATGCAGGCGTTTCAGATCGGGAGTGTTGGTTGGGTTGTCTTCCAGAGTGAGCACATTGAAACCTCTTGAGCATGTCTCTTGACATCCCTATAGCTGTTTTCACCTCTGTAAAACAGAGGTGGTCTGCTGCTTCCCAGGCTGCTTTAAGGAAAGCAGATGGAGATTCCTAGAAGCATGGGAGCATTGTTTAAAAGCCTTGTCTGGTGGCTTTTAAATAATCAGATCTAATTAACAGTTAGTTGTACTTTAATGTCTGTTGTGCTTTTGAGTCCATGTGCAGAAAGCAGGGATGCAGTAATACAGAACACAGTTGATACAAGGTCAATGAAAGGATCTATGGCCTTTGTAAAAATATGCAGACCCCCGCTGCCAGATGATCCCTGAAAGCCAAATGCAGGCTGTCCAAGCTGATAGGAGATGAAAGACGAGAGCTTGTGCCTAAGCGTGGCTGTCTAACGCCCCACAGACGGCAGGAATTCAGGCAGGGAAAGGACTACCTTCATGGTCAAGGGCAGTTCCCTGTTATCGCTATGTCGTATAAACCCATCCACAAACTTATCAAGATCTATCTTAAAACCAGTCAGGTTTATTGCCTTGCTTCTACTACTGGAAAGCGATTTCAGAACCTTGTTTCTCTGATATTTAAAAACCCACTGGTATCCAGCTTAAATTTAGCTGTGGTCAGCTTAAACCTAGTTTTAGAAAGTCCCAAATGTGGGGCTCAGAAGTAAGAGAGGTAGTTAGCCATGATAGCAAAAGTATCTAGATCTGGACCCAGAGCTGTTGAGAGGCTTACAGAGCAAAATAAAATCCTTGAATTGCACTTGGAAACCAAGTAGACACCAGAGCAGATCATGGAGCCACATGCATAACAAACCCCTGGGAAAGGGGCTGTCAAATGGACAGCTGCATTCAATAAAAGCTTCAGCATCTGAGTCGTTCTTAGAAGCGAGGGACCCCATGTAGAGTGCAGAAAGAAAGTTTTACAAAGGCTGCAGTGACTTTCTTTGCACAGCGCAAGGTTTTCCTTTACTGAGCTCTTGCTACAGCTTACCTCCAAGTCCTTATATAATTGATAAGCATTTAAATAGTGTGGTAAACTTGTGCTGGGCTTTTACAAATGTAGATAAAACTGTGTCCCGTGTGGATCGCTAGGACAAAGGCAGCATGATAGCTTAGGGAAGATGGGCATGAGTAAGAGTGAAAGGAGAGGATGTATTTGCAGGGGAAAGGGGAAGCAAGTAATTGGCATGGGAGATACTGGGCCAGTATAAAAAAAAACTCTAGTTCAGGGAGGTGAAGGGAACAAGAAACCAGGATCTTCTAAACGTGGCTCCGATATTTTTTGTAGCAGCTGGCTCTGTGCCGTCTATCGTGGGCAGAGATGTAATGAGACGTAGAGGTGAAATAACCCAGTCTACTTTGCTTGACAGGCATGCCTTTCAACCAACTGGGTACACTGGCAGGGAGTAAATATTACAACGTGGAGGCTACCTATTGCTACTTACGCTGGTGAGTGTCTGCAGTGGGGGTGCTTCATCCTCCCTGCTGCCTCAGCTGCAGAGCCAGAGTTACTTCTTTTTCTTTGGCTGTTAGTCTGGTGTGTTTGCACATTAGTTGGTGGGAGGGTGGGTCTGAAGGTTACCTACCCTGATTCAGGGCTGCATCATGCTATGGAACCATGATGCCACAGACTAAGTAAAAAGAACACAATGTCCAGATTATTTTAAAGGTATAAGATTTCCAAAAGGCACTAAGGTACGTCATTCCTCTCTGTATCAGGTGCTTACATACCTTTAAAAATCTGGTCCTAAGAGCTTCAAAGCTGTGGCACAAAATGCAAGTCCTGGGGTGTAACTGATGAGGTAGGTAAGGTAACTGTGTGTTTGTGAAATACCCGTGTTTTAGCATCCAGTCTGAAGTGTCCTTCGAAGGGGCCTATGGGAACCTGAAGCGGCTGTATGACAAGGCAGCCAAAATGTACCATCAACTGAAGAAATGTGAGACCAGGAAACTGTCTCCAAGCAAAAAACGGTAAGAACTGAGGGAGTGGCACTGGAGTATAGCTCTGGCATGAGACGAATAGTTTTGGGAGCAGTGCTTGGGGTGCAGTCTCACCCTAACTGCCACAAATTCAGCTCAAGTTGGCAGCGATTCACAGTTACTATTTGATCAGTGATTTCTGTCTAGCTCCCATTATTGGCCTCTTTGACGATGGTCCCAGGAAAGAGGCCATGGACTGATTAGGAACAAAGATTGAATTCCTTTTTCTTCCTAGGGGCTGGGTGCTGCTTTTGAGGGTTGGTGAATATTAGTGGGGAGGCATGTATGGAAAGCTTGCACTGCTGCACTATGTGGCAGCCACCTCTGCAATGTAGCAATTTTCCCTGTCTTAGGTATACCAGGGCTAGATGCAGTGACTGCTCCATTTATGGGAAATTACAGATAATTGTCCTCCATCTGATGGATCCTCATTCGTGATGCATTTAATAGGCAGTGTGAGTAACACCTGCAGGATTAGCCCATCAGTAGGTATTAAACATGGTAATTAGAGTTGTCATCTCCAGATTAGGACTTCCCAGGCCCCTGGAAGCTATAAAGGAAGAGGGGCTGGGGGCAGATCGGAGTGGCTAGACCCTGCATATAGGTTCTTCCCTTTAGCATCCATTGTGCCACTGTGAGATGCTAGATGGACCTGTGGTCTGACCTGTTTTAATCTCTTAAATTTTTGTGTTTGCTGCCTTGATCCATTCTCCTGGCTTTGGTTGTTACACATTATGATCTTCCACTCATGGTCTGGGTTACAGCATGTTTCCAAAGCTTGGTTTATTCCTGCATGTCAGCTGCCTGCTTCCAGATAGATTCCTCCTAGTAGATATGCAGCATGACATCTACCCAAACCCAATACATGATGCTTTTGCGTACAACCAAGACCAGTGGGCAGGTCCTGTGGTATCTGACTTCCATTTTTCAGCTTGAGGGAGAAGCGATTCAGAAACCGTATGAATTAATAGTGGGTAATGCTGCTGTCCCTCAGCTGGAATGGCTGAGATTCTTGTGAAGCCAAGCCTCCTTTGCACATCCATGCAAGGTTAAGAACGTGCTCTTTGCCAGACCAAATAGTCTCATAAGCCCTGACTTACTCTGATGTTTCTGTGAATTTTGCAACCCACATCTTGGTATGTTTCTTGTTTTCAGAGTTAAGCTACCAATTCTGAAATGGGCAGAATACCAAAGCCCCTTTTCCAGAGGAGGTTTCTCCAAGGGCTGAGTCTATTTTGACCATACTTTAGGGTCTCTGTAGGGAAGGTAGAAGACTAGGAATAAATTGATTTACTCTGCTACTCCTACTGAATGTTGTTAACTATCTGAGAAGTGATTTGCACAGTAGTAACAGCATTTCTCTCCTCCTGTGTTTGATGGATGAGATGCTTGCTTCTTTATGATTACATTTTTACCCTGACAGATGCAAAGATATAAAAAGACTGCTGGTGAGCTTTATGTACCTACAGAGTCTTCTGCAGCCCAAAAGCAGGTAAGGTAGTTCTCCATGCTCTCTTGTGTCTGACTCAGTAAGAAAATCCTAAATTGTTCCCTTAAGGGGTTAAATGATTTAACTGGCATCACATATATGGGAAGACAGCAGGTGTAGCACCCAGGAGCTCTTCCTCTCAGGCCCTTTGTTTGCCCTGTTGCCCCCAACTGTCCTTATCTTTGCCCAGTCCTCTTTTCCTGCCAGGGACAGGAGGAGAGCATTGGCTTCCCAGTCTTGCCCATGTGAAGAACTGCAGAGCAGTTTCTTCGGCTAAGACACCTGTAATCTTATCACTCTTTGTTCAGGGGAAAGAGTAACAGAACCTGTTGTGTGGCATCAATGGGAAGCTTTGTACAGCCATGTGGGTTCTCCTGCATTTTCTCTGTCTGACGGGGGACTTCTCCAAATTAACCCTTTACTGCTTGATCCCAAACTACTCTGGATCAGGGCTTAATACACACATTGCTTAATCCCCTTGTCCACTGTAAAGCCCTGGCTGATGCTGGTTGACTCTTCAGGATTTTTTTGTTCATTGAATGGGGGACCTTAACTCACCCTAGGGCAATTGGATGGTGAAGTTGTTCGTTTCCTCCTCTGTCCAGCTCTGTGGATTCCGAGCTGACATCTCTTTGCCAATCGGTGCTGGAGGATTTCAACCTTTGCTTGTTCTACCTGCCGTCTCCCCCCAACCTGAGCTCAGCTAGTGAAGATGAAGAGGAATATGAGAGCGGGTACTCCTTCCTTCCTGACCTGCTCATCTTCCGCATGGTTATCGTCTGCCTTATGAGTGTGCACAGCCTCAAGAGGGCAGGTAACGAATGCATAATTAACTTATCCCATTAGCAAAGCAGCTTGCTGAATTCTAGTTCTGTGACAGAAGGAAGGCGACATGCCCCTTGTGAACTCTGACTGTCTGCAGGGGTACAGGGATCCGTTTTACAGAGGATTCATTTAGAGCTGAATACTGGCTGCTAGACATTCGTGTTATCTCACTTCATATTTGGCAGAGATGGAAAAGGCCCCTTAGGACAGACTGATTGGTCCCATTGTTAGGATTCCAGCATACAGAGCATCTTCTAGTGTCCAGCACAGTGTGAAACAGTGAGGGCGTCTCCCTGCTTTCCTGGGGGGGGGTGGGTAGTGGCGGGTGTCCCAGTGCATTATAGGACTAGGTTCATAATCTGGACATCTAGGATCAGGTCTCTGTTCCATCATGAGTTTCCTTCATGGTCTTGGGCAAAATCCATAGTCTTTTAGTGTCACCTGTAAAATGTGTACACAGGTGTTGTGTTAAAAGGCTGTGAGGTACTCGGGTATTATGGTTGTGGGAGTCACGTATGTACTTACAAGAAGATTGTCAGGAGACTTCCTGATATTCAGCCTCCACTTACTTATTACTCTCAGTTATATACTCATTTTTGGCATCCTAAACAGCTCTTCTGCCTTGGTGCTGACACCTGCTAGATGCATAGTGATTGGCATGCTTGACACCACTTTGGTTGCCATAGTGATCAGCTTAGTAAAATGATTTCCTGCGCATAAGGTGAGATACAAAACATCAGTGATGCCTGAGATTCATGGATGAATGAAGATCTTTCATGAAACAGGACCCCCTGGATGGTGAATGCAGCTTATCAAGAACGTTGTGTCCCTGCCATGCAGCAGGAAGTGCTGTAGTATATGGGTCTTAGGCTGAGGGCAGGTCCTTCTTGGATGGAGTTAGAGCCCAGAGGGGGCAGGGATTAGTTTTTCCCAACTTGGACAGCAAATCAAACTCAAGCAACATCCATTTTGCCGCAGTATCGAGACAACCCATTCCCTCCACATCATCCCGCGGTCTCATTGCAGGTTCAAAGCAGTACAGTGCAGCCATCGCATTCACACTGGCCCTCTTTTCTCATCTGATCAATCACGTGAATATTCGTCTGCAAGCAGAGCTGGAGGAAGGGGAGAATCCAGTCCCGGCCTTCCAGAGCGACGGCACAGGTAAGAGAGAGGGTGGTAGCAACTGCTCTGTCCTTGTATGTAGCCACTGCTTCCCTTTCCTAAATGTACTGAGTATGAGATTGACAGTACAGGGAAATTGCTATGTGTGTGGAAAATTTAAACTTTTAGATCTTTTATGCAAGGCAGGCATATCTACACAGCTGAGGCTGTATCTTCCCTACCACAATCCTGTACAGGTAAAGCACATCTAGTATGGACATAACTATACCAGCAAAGCCATGCTTTGTACTGTATGGATAGACCACACCCCAGGAAGGGAGCAGGTTACGGTGCTGTAGACACAGTTATCACTGTATCTATGCTAAGAGTTCCTTCTCCCACAGCTGGTGTCAGCCACCTCTCATTCCTGACTGACATCACTATGCCATCAGTAGCCTATAATGTCTGCTTGGCCTTGTTCTCAGCCATGGGGAGTTCCCTTCTGTTGCTTTAGATACTCAGTTCTGGGTAACCTTGACAGATGTTGCCAGAGAGGGGGTTGCTGGAGTGAAAAATGGGAAAGATCCTCCAGGCTTGGAGGTGGCTGCATGGTTGATGGGAAGGGGGAGGTAGCAGACTGCCTCCTTGCCAGACTGGAGGTAGCTGCTTAGTAATTCAGCGGTGACCTCAAATTTTGCATGGCTGTGCCAACGTGCTCCCCAGAACTGCCCTGTATTGTCTTTGCTTTCTCTCCATTCTCTTCAGACTCCAGTTCAGAGTACCTGCATCTCTTATAAACTGTCCGTTGCTTTTGCTCCAGCTGTGCTCACAGACCTTGTCTGTATAGTCCCCATGGCTCCCTCTGCCCCTCTTTTTTGTCTCCCTTGTCATTCTGCTGCCTCTCTGCATTTGTCCTTCCAAACCTCAGTCTCCTTCAATATCTCTTCTCCCTCACCCATACCTTTGAGGTTTATTCTCCTTCTGTTGCTGTTTAGTGCACTCCTTTCTCTCCCCTTGAGATGAGGATTACGGCAATGTCAATGAGATGCTTTTCCTGTTGCTGTGTTTGTTGCGGCTGTTCAGGGAATATGGGCAAAATCTTTGTTCCCAGAGTTTGCCTATCAAGCAGTTTTCAGCAAAGCTGAGGTCACTGAAGATAGAATAAAATGTCTTCAGTCCCCTTTGGAGATTCTGTGCAGTCACGATCTTCGGGGAAAAAAGAATTTGCCATTTTCTTGACCGAAATGATGTATTTGGGTAGTTTCATTAAACAGGAGTTTTTCTAGAAAGTGGCCAGGCAGGAAGTGAAGTCCTAAGTATTGATCTAATCACACATGGGAAACAGCTTAACTTCAGCATATGGGGGAAGCATTAATTAAATTAGAATGTTATTGTGCTGGGTTTTAATCACTTGCAACAAACCGTTTCACTGACCATCCCAGGCACATCCCGAATGATTTCCACCTTATACCAGATAGCCACATCCTCGGAACAGCCATGCGTTTACCTGCCTCATTCACTTTTGCCAGCTTCAAGTAGCACAAAAAGTATAAAACTCCTTTACAATAAAACCAGTGGAGAACATTCCACGTTGAATATTCCTTTGAGATCTCTCCTGTATCACTCCACCAACTGTGTCTAATACGCTGTTGTGTTGGTAGAGCTGATACAGATTCTTCCCCTGCCCTTGGTTTTGAATAAGACAAAGGTGAGTTAAGCCTCTTAAGACACTAAGTGATACGGCTGTAATAAAGATTGTGGATTAAACCCATTCAATCCCCGATTAGGATAAGTGGTCAGGCTTAACCAAGCTGTCTGGCATGCGTGTAGTCACACTGCCCCTTGGATACTTGAGCAGAGATCTGAGTTAGGAGTCCATGCAAATGGGTCAGTTAGAACACAAACCCTGGACTCTCTTTTTTTTAAAGCTGAGATTTGTAAGTGTGTATTAAGTAAACAGTTAGCCTTTGGCCAATGGCATGAGTTCTTGGCAAAAAAATTTCATGAATCACTTTTTTTTCTTTCATCCCTTGCATTTTCCCATGGACCTCCACACAGCTTCATCAGCAGAGTTTTTAAATTGAAAACACTAACGATGCCCACAGTAATCCACTGATGAGTAGTGGACTGGTTCCCTTGGCCACCTGGCCCACAGCTGGGAAATATACTAGTCTAGTTGAATCTTCTGTGGAGGGAGGAGACTGGGGAGAAGGTGGTTTTGTATAGAAATGAATGCTGTGCTGTGCTGGCCTCAGCAGTTCCATCTAGGGTGGCCAAAATTTGGAATGGGCTTCCAAGGGATGCCTATCCAGCCTTCTTTAAGAGAAGGTTGGATAGGCATCTGGCTTGGGTCATCTGACCCCAGCACTCTTTCCTGCCTAGGCAGGGGGTTGGACTCAATGACCTGTTGAGGTCCCTTCCAACCCTAGCATCTATGAATCTAATAACAAAACTGGTCCAGCTTAGGCAGCAAGGATGCCAGCTTCCTAGTTCTCTTTCCTTCCTACAAACTATGTCCTTGACTTGCAAGGACTCTGTTCCCAGGGCCTGTTCTATCCTTGGCCTTTCCGCGGGTCTTGCTTGGTAAAGGATGTTGATTATCGGTCTCCTAAACCCCAGAAAATAGAACCCAGCTCATTAATTTCCCACTGGCCACCCACTGGCTGATCAGGTAATAGCGAGCACTTTCCCTAGCTGACAGGAATTGAGTAGCGTGTGAGCCAGTGTTGCACAGGAGTCTCACTCCATTTGCTGTGATAAATTTCTGCTGCCAGTAACTGAACAGCTCAGGGGATTAGTAAAAGCCAGGGGGAGGAAATCGAGCTGTCTGTAATTAAGTACCAGCATTTCTGCGGAAGCAGGACTAGCAGAGGTGCAGGGTTTGCTTGCTTTGTATTAGCACTCATCTTGCTCTGTACAAGTGGCACTGTTCCCCAGGGATGCCATGATGTATCGTGTAATGATAGGTCCTATAAAAACAGCACCTAAGCTGAGATGCTGACACTTCCCCTGGCTTGGGGTTAGTCGCTTGATGGCATCAGACCTCAGGGCTTTTCTAACCAAGGTTTTTTGTTCTGGCTGTCTTCTTCAGATGACCAAGAGCCTCGGGAGCCTGTGAACTCCATTGAGAAGGAAGCAGAAGCTGACTTAGCCAACCATCAGCCCAGCGCCGAGCAACAGAAGAATGACGGCAAGAAAGGCAAGAAGTACTCACGCCTCTCCTGCCTGCGGCGTCGGCGCCACCCCCAGAAGGTGGATGAGAGCGACCTGAGTGAAGGCTTTGACTCGGACTCCAGCCATGACTCTGCCAAGGGCAGCGATGGCTCTGAGAGCGGCTCGGAGAAGAGTGACGAGGACGCAGAGGCTGCTTTTGATGTAGAAACGGACTCGGACATGAACAGCCAGGAGTCCCGCTCAGACCTGGAGGACATGGAGGATGAGCCGGGTGAGGATGGAGGGAGCCGCACCAGGAGCGCAAAAAGCAGGGCCAAGGAGGCTGTAAAAAACTACGTGGAGGGGAGTGGGCTGGGGGACTCTAAAAACCCAGGTAACCCCAAGACTGAGAACCCTGACCCTGCTGCCAACGGGCCAGGGTCTGTGGGCACAAACGAGGCAAGCATAGCCAGCAACCTGCAGGCCATGTCCACCCAGCTGTTCCAGACCAAACGCTGCTTCCGCCTGGCTCCCACCTTCAGCAACGTCCTCCTGAAGCCGACCAGTGGAACAACCTCATTGAAGGAGGGAGTGGGCAGCAAGCCCTGCATCAACGGAGATGTGAACAAGCCCAGCTTGGTTGAGCAAGGTAAGAAGCCCATGCTTGGTTAAAAGGGGAGCATGAAGGGTAATGAAGATCACAAGGTCCTGGGTCTATCCACAGGATAGTGGGCAAAATGCATCCACGGCCTGATCCAGTCATTGGCACTTCTTTATGTTCTTAAGCCATTAGTTTCAGTGAGTGCTGATTCAGTGCCAGGAAAAGATAACAAATATTGGCACTTGGTGTATTTTGCCGGTATAGGAGAAGAGGGGGAAGGTTAGACTGTAAAGATGATTGATGATTAAATTCAATCTGTATGAAACTTAGCTTTGCTAAGGCTGCACACCCAGCTGGAGTTAGAAATTATTACTGTTCTTCTCTTTAAAAAGTCCTATAAAATTCTGCAGTTAAAATCTAGCTTGTGGTCCTGATGGTGGCTGAGGCAGGTTGCGTTCAGGTATTTCTCTCATAACTGTCAGGGCTATGTGAGCTGCGTACGTAGAAGTAACGCTTGGGAAAACTTGTTTGCATCAGCAGATGTGACTCAGCCACAGGCAGAGATGCAGATGCAATGGGGCAGTGCTTGTGTCCTTCTGGCTTCTGGCTTCAGATGCTCAGCAGATGGCGCTGCCTATTTCTTAAAGCCATGGTGGGGTGTGCATTATACAATCAGAGTCATGTTCTGGCATGGAACAGATGAGCTGTACTACATATATATAGCCTTTGCATTTCAAGCGCACCTCAGGCTGGTCTGGTTTTGCTTGTCCTGCTTTCCAGCCTCCCCTGTTCCAAGGAGCAAGGAAGCATTTTGCATTGTGTTCCTGTAGCCCCTGTACATGAATGTGCTGCCTTGATATGTACTCAAGTGTGTTACTTGCAAATGCAGTTTTAGTTCTCATTAACTAGGTTGACTCAGCATTGAGTAGCCAGAATTAGATGTAGCTAACGAACATGATCTGATGCCGCATCTTATAAGTCTAAGTCTAGACACTCAGACTGGCATTAACCTACTTTGGAAGGGGCTTCCTTCAGTCTTTCCTGATGGGAGAAAAAGGTCTCTGACATCAGGGTTGTGAGGAGGGGGAGAGATGGGCCTTATCTAGGAGGGCAGTAAAGTGTTGGAACAGGTTACTCAGAGAGGTGGTGGAATCTCCATACTTGGAGGTTTTTAAGCCCCAGCTAGACAAAGCCTTGGCTGGGATGATCTAGCTGGGGCTGGTCCTGCTTTGAGCAAGGTTTGGACTATATGACTTCCTGAGGTCCCTTCCAGCCTTCATTTTGTATGATTATCAAACCATCGTTCTTTCCCAGTAAAAAGATGACAAGCCTAGAAACATCTGCTGGGGCAATGATTCTTCTGTCCTGGAAGGACATAGAATGGGCATTTAGCTTTGCACTGATGAGCCTCCAGGTATTAACTGTTTTGCCTCGCTCCCGTGTTGTGGCAGCTGAGGTTCCAGCTGCAGCTGGTGTTGATCTAGCTGGTCTCTGCAGGGTCTCACCTCAAACCCAGTTGCAGGTTTGGAGGTGCCAGGAGCAGCTGACTCGCCCCCTCTCTCCCCCCAGCTCCTTTTCTTGGTTTCTGTGGGGTCACTGGGGAGAATTTGGATTCTGCCAGTTGGACACAGATGCATGAGCAGCCTCTTGCCAAGTGGAGAGGGACTTTGTGGAGGCATCTTAAAAAGTTCCCTGGGGGCCTAATAGCAGGGAGATTTATTTTATATGCAGCTGCCATTCCAAGGTCAAGGGATAAGTCAGGGAGATGCTCTACTGAAAGGGATCCTTAGCAAGAGCAGTGTGACTTTTGGTGGCACAGGGAGGTTTCTAAACCCAGGTGCCTGAGTTTGTATCTCCTGCCTGTCACTCTGGACAAGTTTGAACTGGATGTTATTTCCTCTTTGCAAGCGGCAGAACGTTTTTCTCCTCCACTGCTTATTCCTGGCCCCTGCCAGGTAACTTTAAGCTGAGTGTTTTGCTCTCAAAAAGCAGATTTCAGCTTGACAATGTGGTGTTGGCTGTGGAATGATTGGACAGTTTCTGTTCCACCTAGGACAGTGTGAAGCACTATTACATATACTGGGTAGGGAAAAACAAAGGGTCTCTGTACCCAGGGCTCAAATGTATGCCCATGGGTTCCAGAAAAGAATGGTATTCCTTGATGGTTGAACTGAGACCTGTGTGGTAAAGTGTTTTGGGATCCATCATCACTCAGGTGCCAACAACATGCCGGGTGCTGTACGAGAGGGAGGAAGTCATAAGCCTCGCCCTGTCTTCTCTGCCACTTTGCCGTTACCAGCCTTGCATATCTGGGCATCTTAGAGTAGAATATAGCAGTTTCCTTCTTCTTGGGGACAGGGCATGTTGGTAGCTTGCTCTGGAAGTTGGGAATAGATTCCAGATTTCTCAGTTGCTCTTACTTGATATTACTGCATCACCTTGGATCACTAAAGTGGGACACCTTGGTGCTGGGTGCTGTACAAACAGACAACGCAGAGATAGTCCCTGCAGGCACAGGCAGTTGGAAGTGCCATGAGATGACACCAGTCTGCAGGGAATGGGAAATCATGAAGGTTATTTTCCTTCTTGTTCCCATACAGTTTCCTCAAGCACATACCAGCATGGTTCTCTGCTTGTGGTCTAATCCCTTAAACCCTACTGTGCTTTGTATTTTCAGATGACACATCTGACTCGGAGGAAAGCGTCACCAGTAACAAATCCTGCAGGAACGAGAAGTCACTTGAGGAGAAGCTGGAGATCCTCACCAACGAGGGATTGCTTCCTACTGTCAAGGTGTTCCTGGACTGGCTGCGAACAAACACCGACCTCATCATCATGTGTGCCCAGGTTTGGGGCCTTGGTTTACATGGAGAATGTTCATGTCAGCCTGGGTGATGAAATTCACTCAGACCTCTCTAGTTTCAGCTAGATGCAGCGTCACTTCCTGTACCAAAGTAGTGCTTTGTATGGCTAAACAGATCCCTTCTATTTAGAAACTGCAGCTCGGTAATCTCTGTGCATACTGTATTTTCTTGCCGACAACAACATTTCCCCTTCTAACCCCCCATTCC